ACAACATGCCGATCGATGAGAGGTGGCCCCCAGACTCATTTTACAGTGTGGGCCCCGTGGTTTCTGGGGACACGCAGCTAGCAGCTGTGTTGAGTTTAAGCTGCTGCAAGAATATGCATGCATCCTAAGCATTTCATTTTTTCTTGCCAGGATTCTGCCTAAAGCATTAAAAAAAAAAAACCATTTCGTCTTGGTTACCGATCTATAGCTAGGGAGGAGGTGACCACCATCGGATTATCCAGACTAATAAATACAGCTCAGGATGGTTTAGAGATTAAGACCGACCATGAGCCTATGACAGACTATGACATGACAAACCCTGTCTGGCTCAGCCTCACGTTAGAGATTAACTCGGCCTCTACGGAAAGCGTGCTGCTTTATGTTATTTAATGATGTTTCAGTCACTTCTGAAACAGGCTGTCTTTGTTGAGGTGAAATGTGCAGTGACAGTTGCTGGGTAGTCCAGCAGAGAGCAGGTACCTCCAGAGCATCAAATCGCTCTCTGTTCCTCTTCACACCCAACCTGAGTCACTATTAAAGTCGTTATTTGGAAACCGAATCTACGAGCCAAAATCTCTTCAGGCTCAGGAATGTTATGAAACGTTTTCTTATTTTCTCGTTCTGGGGAACGTTAGAATCCGTAGTGCTGACCGCTCCTGGTCAGAGAGCAACGCCTCTCACGTTTCAGACTGACAAAGCAGATCCAGTTTAACCCTGCAGATTTTCTGGATTTGAGTGACATGCTAGTTTCTCAGCTGTTTTTTTTTCTCCCTGGACAGCACTGAGTAGTCAATCTATTTATCATTAATTTAGAACAGTTAAAAATTCTCGTGGTGACAGACGTTTAGACAGAGAATATGAGAGGTGTATCCAGGCCATGGATTTTCTGATTTCTCATTGTCCTTGATAAACTGCACAAAGGCAGTTTTGGGCGTAACTGTCTGATTGCTGCAGGCTCCAGACAGCTGTATGTTTATCTCCTGTCTCTGTATAATTACGTTGTTATGGAATCACTAACATTTTGCTGGATGAAATTGTTTAATTCTCCTCTTATCTAGATGTACAGTAATGTTTCCACCAAAAACGCTAGCCGGTTAATCTAATTACTCTGACTGGCCTGATGAATATTTCCCTCATTTTAGTGTTTCCTTAATTTTCCTCCCTTGTTCTCGGACCGCTGGTCTCAGGGCACTGATCCCAGTTCCGGCCAGCCTGGATTTCTGCTGTTAATAGGGACATTCCTCCATGCCTGCTGGGACCGTCGATGACACCCATAATTACCCCACATTCCACTCTGTCTTTGAAACGTGGGCGAAGCTTTCAAATGTTTTCTGTTCCACAAACTAAATGAGGCAAGGGGTCAGAAATGTACAGATGCTCCGCTATCTCCTGGGAATCTCAAGTGGAAAGAGGGATCTCTGGAACGAAGCAAGCAGAGCCCAACATTCACACAACTTGCGATGATGTTTTCATGGAGATGACTGTATGCACAAGATCTTACATCACACCTGATATTGGGGCAGTAATTCTGAAGGAGAACTTATAAAAGAGTTTGTTAAAACAATTTAGCTTCTCTGCCTTCATAAGTCATACAAAAACTATTCATTAAATAAACATAGATACACAGTCATAGATATAAAGCTTAGACCACATTGGAATGTCATTATTGTTCATTTCCAACATCTAGCTTGTATTAGTTGTTGGTTAATCTCCTCACAGTTTTTTTAAGTGCATTACTTAGATTGTTTATGGGATTTCTGTTACTTGAGGTATGAGGTTTGGTCAGATGAGGGTTAGGGTTAGGGTTCGGTTAGGGAGGGGTGGGTTTCTTGCATACCTTGAAATGCCTTTTCTGTTCCAGCCCTGTTTCCGCAGAAAACACACCCCTCCCCTCCCCTCTTCCTAAAGCCGCTCAGTGTTCACCAGGGCGCACACAAGGCGGTTGTATTACTTTCTTTTCAGTTTATTTAATAACGTTGATGATTTGTTATGAGGTACGTTTTAAACGCCCTTGCCTGGCGGGATCGGCACGCGGTTATGCGGCGTGTGTCTGCGGTCGTCGGCGATCCCACAGCACAGGCCTGTTTTTGTTCTCTCGCGACGGAAGTTTGTTTGTTTCCATGGCGGTCGCAGAGGCACGCTGTCAGCAAACCCCCTCCCCCCCTCCCCCCCCCCCCCCCCCCCCCCCCGCACCCCCCATTGTTGACGCCGTTTCCATATCTCGGCGACGCCATGAAAGGGCCGATGCTGCGGGGGCTCCGCTGCCCTGCCGCGGCCCGGCCGAACAGACCTCTCATTCACGGGGTCTCTGTGCGCAAGAAGCGCCTTGACTCCCGAGGCGGCGAGAGCGTCGCCAAGAGGCCGGGCGTGAGCGCTGTGTGCCGTTAAGCGCGTTAATCACCCAGCCGCTGCCTCGCTGCCTTCCCTCACCCGGCATTACACCCCCGAGGGCTCCTCTGCAGCCTTTTAAACGGTGTTTTATGGAGAAGATTTAAATATCGAGTGGCATCTGGCCCAAAGCGTGGTTTTATGAGTAATAAAGCTGCACGCAGGTTATATTTAAACTGTTGCAGGGTCCCCTTGCTGGTAGTCATGTGACCGCTGTCTGGCTTCGATATACAGCTGGCTTATATAGATCTGTACAGAAAGGAGAGGCCTGGAGGGGACCTGGGCTTCACAGAGCATTCAGGAGCTATTTATCGCTTGAAGAACTTCATGTTTATGGCTTATGGGAAACTACGGTAAGCGAGATGGTCGCTCCGTCAGGCCCCACGACGTCCTCATGCTGCTGGGGTAAGTCTCCGTCCGGGAATCCATGTCCCTCTTCTTTTTCCTGCCTTTTTGCCCGGGAGCTCTGGGGCCGCCGTCCGCCTCTGAGGCGCTCCTGCTGACCGTAATAGCAGCATTGAGACGGCAGGATTGCGCGCTGCTGTTTTTTTTGGTGCATTTCGACGCTGTGCTTTTCCTACCAGCTGGGACGAGATTGAGGTTTCTGCTCCCGATGAAAGAAGCCTGACTCCACGCTCACCGTCCAAGCAAAACTGCCCTTTTATTTATTTGTTATATATATATATATATATATATATATATAAAATTTTATTTTAATTTTTTTTGACTCGGTGACTTACATGCCTTTCTGCACTGGACACATGCTAACAGTGGGGTTTTCAAAGGCTCATCATCACGTTTACATTCAGTCAGCAGGAATTCCACCCATGACAGCGAGGGACATAAAACATTCTAATGTTATGGTGCTGGGATCAGACACACTTGAGTTGATTCAAACCTGACACTATATAGGTTAAACCTTCATCTTTCGGGAGTAAAGCTGACCATGATGCTTCTTATTCATTCCATAACCCTCGGAGCAGGCAGTACATGCTCATGGGGACGATAAAATCCATTTTAAGGTGGTTTTTGTTATAAATTACATTTCTGCAGCCGGTTCTTCTCGACGCATGGCTCTTGTTTCCCTGCATCTCACAGGGGCTGGCAGGGCATTTGCGTCGGGGGGGTCAGAGAACCACTGTTTTGTTTGAAATAGGCTGAGAATGTTGACTGGGATGGAACTGGGCCCTCACACTCCCGGGGAGGGGGGGGGGGGTGCTTTTGGGGGGCCCGGGACAGGCCTGGCTTTTCAGATGCAGCTCCTTAATTGAAACATCTATATTTCTTGTTTGTTCACACCCGTCTTAACACTCTGTGTCAGGGTAATTTAACACGATGCAACATAAAGATAATTTACTTTGAATTAACTAAACTTTACACAGCACCTACTGTATAGTAGACACCCTTGGTGTCCTGCTCTTAGAAAGTGACCCGTCGCTGTGTGTAATGTGCAGTAACAGTCTTAAAGTAAAAAAAAAAAAAAAAAAAAGCTATTTATCTGGATGGTAAGTATGTGTGCTCAGAAAAAAACACAACATTTGATTATATGAAAATTAACATGAACAAAATAAAAACAAACAAAGATATATATAAAATATTACTGATGTCTTGTTGGATGGCTGGCTGAACAACACTTTGGTTCTCAAACCTCTCCTCAGGGGCACCTCAGCCATTAAAAAAACATGGAATTACTTAAATTTCACCACCAGTTCAATTAATTAGTTTAAATAACTCAATGAGGTACTGATTAGCCAAACAAAGAGTGGTAGGGAGTCATAAGATACATTGGAGTATTGCACGAGTGCTGCAAATACTGGGGGGTGACTTTAGGAGAAGTTTTGAAATAGCTGAGCTGGCACACAAAATATCATAGTTTTACAACAACACAGAGATCATTGAAACATCATTTTCTTTGACTGCGCCAGACTTTTGCACAGCACTGTGTGTGGGTGCAGTGCGTGTCAGTGCGTTGAAGGACTGCGCTCAAGCACACAGGAAGCACAAAAGTGACATAACACATGTCCAGGCTTGGAGCATTAGCCTGAACCCACGGTAACTGTTTGGACACAGAACGAAGGTCGACGTCACTGATGTTCAGGTCATACCCGTCTCCGTGTCACCCTACGCTGCTGGTCGGTGCCTTTTGCTGTATTCTGGACAAAGCGGCATTGAATTGCTCTCGTTTACGCTGCTCTCGTTTCCTTANTCATACCCGTCTCCGTGTCACCCTACGCTGCTGGGGGGGGGGGGCTGCAGTCTCCTGGCCAGATCTGAAATTAATTGCTCTCGTTTACGCTGCTCTCGTTTCCTTACGTCTCCCCGGGGGCGTGACCTTTGGCTCTGAGCGGCCAGTGCTCTGTTCTGGAAAAGGAGGCCTCCAGAATTGTGCCTCGGCTTGTATATTAGATGGATTATTGCCTTGTCAGCTTTGGCTGTTGTTATGGTTGGGAAAAAAAAACAGAGAACAAATAAACAAGCAGGCAGCCGAGGAATGCAGCGTGAGCCACGCCGTTCAGTCTCACACAAACGCTCCCTTTATTTCATTCACTCGTTTATTTCACTCCTTTTCGGATGACACTCATCCTTACTGCTTTCGGATGACACTCATCCTTACTTATGTGCGTTTTCTTATTGTTTTTTTTTTTTTTGCAATTATTTTGAAATGCAGAAATTGGCCTGCCCAGCATTCTGCCGATTCAGTGTAATCATTGCTGGTCAGGGAGGAAACATGCATGGATGCTGAACACAGACCTCTGATTATCTCAGAAGAATGCCTGCAGTGGTTCCTGTTATCTTTACATGCCTATTCTCCTACAGTGCCGTCCAGAAGCACAAACTCTTGCACAATCACTTTTTGATAAGTTTCTTGCCATTTCTGTCATCAGCGAAGATCTGCGAAGTTCTCCATCTCCTAACCTCACCTTATGCTTCAAAGTGTCTTTCCCCGAGTTCTCAATTAATTATGGTAATTCATTAAATAAGCTGGATGGACATGCGACTGATATATAGCTTTGATTTTCACAACATTTCTGTTGAACTGTGACTTCTTCAATTTTGTCAACAAGTTGGCAACATCTGGGTATGTTTCTAAGAAGGAAAGAGGAAAAATTACTTCGGGGCAAAACCAGTTTGAATCTAATTGTTGCCGTGACGGTGATAAATCCGAGTAGCGCGGACAGGGTTTGGCTCTGGGAGCTTTGGGAAAAGGCTGCCTGATGGCATTCTGTCATCTCCAGAGGAAGCTGGCAGTCACCCGCCTCCTTTAAAAGCCGCTGGGCCGGGCTCCTCTCCGACATGCCGCTCCGCGCAGCTTCTGCCACGGCTGCAGGCGGACCCAGGAAAAGGGGCTGCGCCGCTTTCTAGCATCGAGCAGCCGCAGCGACCGAGGGGACAGGAGAGGAGAGGTAATCCGCCATGCCGCTTCGGTGGCACTCCGGGAGATGTACGCGGGGTTCTGACAGCGACGTGCGACTCTCAGTCCCGCAGCAAGCGGCTATCGCGCCGTCCGGACTCGGCCAAGGGAGCCGATCTCGCGTTTGCGGACTTTTAAAGAGCCGCATTCCCGGGAAAGGGGCTCGGACAGCCCCGTGGCCAGCCGCAGACCGAGCTGCAAGTGTCGTGCAGGACGCAAGAAGGTTAAACTTTTCTGCGTGTTTTCTGCAGATTCAGCTCAAGTTTTCGGACGATTTAAGCGACGCACGGGCTGTCGGTCACTTCGCAAAGAAAAGCCTCTGATTTCGGCGCTTAGTTTCGATGGGCATCGCTTCGAGGCTTTATAACACGCAGACAATCGGAGACGGACTTTCTCCTCTGAGCCGCCTGTCTCCGGCTTTCTTCGACCGGGCCATTGTGCTGAGCAGGACCGGCTGGGCTCTGCGGCTCCCGGGGCAGGAAGCCCGCTGCGTGCGGGTCAGGATGCGGCGTGGTTTCTCAGGCTGCCGTGTTTGGGGTGGGATCGCTGCAGGAAACGAGCCTTTCCTATCGGACGGTATCGGGGCTGCCCGGCTGCCTCCAGGTCCGGTACCTGCCGCGGACACAGCGGTCGGGAGCCTCTCTTCCCTCGGGTTTTTGGGCACCAGGATGAGTCGGCTGTATATCCGGGGTGCGGACTTCTGCATGACTTCAGGGTTAAACCGTGGGAGTTTCCTAGCGTCTCGGCTGCTGTTCATTTGTCTGTCTCGCTGTTTGTTTGTCACTTAATATTAAGAAAATAGTTGGGGGGGGAGAAAGTGACGAGCGTAATTTAAGCATCCAGAAAACAAAGAAAAGTGCAACAAGTCATATTTACTTCTCTCTTGAAATGTAATGAGTACATGAAGAGGCGTTTTAAGGGCTGACTATGCAGTTGCATGTGAAGCTTTTGATTAGTCTGGTGCTGATTTGAAGCTTTGGTGACAGTGCGAACAATCGCGGCATTCAGATGTAATGGAAGCGTGTCTGTCACGGTACCGCGATCGGCGGGGGTCCGTCTGAAAGCGCCGCTTATTCCAGGCGCTGCCTCCGTCTCCCGTGATCGGGGCTGCCGGCTCTCACGCATCTGGCCTGACACTCACGCATTCAGACTGTCACGCAAGAAATCTTACGGCGAATCTATATTATTCCATTATGAGCTTAAAATTAACTGCATCAAAAGCGTTGGGGTAGTTTTGCAAACCCTGCGGACTATTTACAAGGTAATAAAACAGTTGCCTACATGTAAATGCGTGTGCATGTGTGTGCAGACTTTTCTAGAATTGAAAACCTCACGCCGGACAACTGACCAAAGTTGGTGACACTCTGTGATGTCGTGGGAATAAGATATTTTAAAAGGCGGGGGATCTTTAACTGGGCTCTCCCATCCCATCGCGGCTGTCTGGCGTGAGCGAGCCCCCCCTCCAAAGAGGCCCTTGTTTGTTCCTCCACACCCGACGGGCCGTGCCTCTGTTTGTACACAGCCAGCTTCAAAGGCCCGAAGGCCTTTTGCTCATTTCCTGGTCATTTTTTGTTCCCCGGTATGCCTTCAAAAGCTGACCTTTCGGAGGCGCTTCTGCTGGCTGCTTTCGTCTGATGCTGTCGGAGTTACGGGGAGGTGCCTGTCCGCCTTTCCAGGCTGGGAGATGAGGGTGTCCTTCTCCGTAATAAAGGCGATGGGTTATCGACTCCCCGCCGAGACATTGTGCTCTGGCAGAGGGCTACTTAAAAGTTATTGGTTGATATTTCATTAGAGGAGGGTGGGGTGCATACAGAAAGTGAGGCTTCTTAGTCCGCATGAGTGATACAAATGAGCAGTTTTATGCCAGATTCACCCTGAAAGGAATGATAATGTGGAAACAAAGCATTTGCCAAAATAAGGACTTTCCTCTCTGGACCCAGATATAAAGGCAGGAATCTGAGTGTGACTTGGCATGGGTCTCTGTTTTCACATGGGTGTCTCCCCTCACTGAGAGGCTTTCGGCTCATCAGGGAAGCCGTGTGTTATTACAACCCTCTCTCAGTAGAAACGCCGCCGTTTTCCTGCACCTGGTCTCCTGCTCGAGTGCCAGCAAGCCGCTGCGGGTCCCCCGGGGGTCTGGCGGGGGCCTGCCCGGTTCTGTCCCCTCGTCTTGAGTCTTTGGGGACTTGTGTAGGTGACAGATGGGAGTGTAGCTTCAGCACTCAGGGTCACGTAAACCTTTGAGAAAGTGGGCCTGCGTTTGCTGCTGCTGAATTTGGGCCTGGTATTGTGTTACAATACATGCCGTATGAGCGCACCCCCCCCCCCCCCCCCCAGTGGGTTTCCAGGATCATCCTCCACTTCTGCCCTGGTTCATACTCTTGTTATGTAGCTGAGAATCTGAGAATTCCCCCTCTCGCTGGCGCCCTCTGTGGGCTCCTCACCATACTGTATGTTGAGCTTCACATTGCCCTCAGATATTCTGAACACCCGCTTCTGAATGGGCCTCGAATCACATTGCCCTGTACCCCCCCCCCCCCCCCCTGCTGATTCATTAAGCATGGGCCAAGAGTGGCCTCATTCATCTTCTCTCATGCAGACAGAAGCTGCATTGGACCAAAGAGCACTGTGGCTCTCATGATGCTGGCGAGGTAGCGTGTCAATCAAAGACGGAATCGCGAGTGATGTCCTCTGTACCTCTGAGGGCTCCGTCCGCCTTTTGTTTGGCTAATCGACATGCAGGTAGGTTTGCTTAACCAGAGCTGTGTGCTGTCTGTGTCTCTCCTGGAGCGATAATAGCACATAGACTGTACATAGACTGTGCCTCACAGTTCCCTCCAATAGTGGGGGCCCAGTTTGCAGTAATGTAATGGACATTCCTCAGTGGCAATAGTCGAGGTCACGGCCTGTGTGATAATCTCACACACACGTGTTAGGATGCTGTGCTCTGGATCAGAAGGTCGCCGGTTCAAATCCCAATGTCGACAGAGTGATTTCACAGTTGGGCTTTTGTGCAAGGCCCTTAACCCCAATTGCCCCAGGGACTGACTGACCCTGCTTTCTCAATCTTTCATCGCTTTGGGTAAAAGCATCTGCTAAATGAATAAATGTAAGTATATTCAGCAAAACTGAGATGAAGACTAAGGTAAAAAGGTTCCATGTTATTCCAGCATGCAGCAAAGTCTTCTATTTTAGTTTTAAAATGCAGGTATAATCCTTAGTTTGCTAGGTCAGTGGCCGTATGGTGCAATGGCGTGTTTATTAGGGGTCCGTACATAGGCAGGCATTATGCATGGTGGAATGTTCCAGTATATTTCGGGTGCTCAAATCTATTGCGTAAAAGTCTGGATTTTTTAAGCATCAGTTTGCTGCTGTTTTAGTGGCTTTAGAGGAGATAAAAAAGAAAGTGAAATTGAGTCTAAACACCATCGAGGGAGGGTGTTATGAGGTGTTGAGTAACTCTGGGTTAGAGTCCTGTGGACATTACTCCAGGGAGACGGTGATCTCTCACGCTCGGGGTGGGTGCGACTGATCGGGAAGGCATCTGCTGGGAAAGCAGCCGTGCCGGTTGTAACTGATCTATGGGAAGGAGCAGTTGCGGCGGTGTCCTGACCGCAGCGCCGGGCCGAGCCGTGCCTCCGAGACACGCGCTCACCGCCTTGCGCAACGGGCCTTCTGCCTCTCGAAATTCCTTTGGGGGGAAATGACATCACCGGCAAATGTCAGGCCTGTGATTAGTGCTGCTCGGACGCACGCAGACATGCAATGTGCGTCTCGTGGTCGCATGCTAATTCTCTGCACGGGTGCTGAGAGCCTGTCACACACGGTTATTATCCTGTAGCCGCAGGAGCCGGGAGGTGGCCATTTTCCTGCCCCCTGTCTCTCTTGACCCTGCCTGGTACCCCTTATTGGAGGTGGCCTGTGGGTGTGTGTCTGATGGGGGCCAGCAGGGGGCACTGGCAGGTCAGGGTGAAGGACGGGGTGATATATAAGGCTAGCATGTCAGGTTTGATGCTGATACCACGTTTTCACCCAATTTCTCATTAAAATCCCGTTTCTGTTCCATCTGCTCCTTTGGTGGGTGAATAGTGTACAGTTCCTGAGCCTTGGCTGGGATTTGAACCCGTTCTGATCTGGTCGTGTGCTTCCACGCACACATGGGGAGTCACGGGAAGGTCCGCAGATTCTCCTGCGACCACGCTGCAGGCGTGATGATGCGCGCCGTTGCACCGCGGCTCAGCGTGAGGCCGGTCCAGATGGCGGTGCCGGGGGGGCCGCGTCAGAGTCAGCAGGCGTACAGGAGCCGCCCGCATAATCTGCATAAACCTGTTATGACAGGGGCGTTACGATCGGGGGCCTCCCAAGAGCTCATAATAAAGCAGGGCCACGCTTGGTGCCCCCACAGATGCTCAACAGCGATGGGCACTTTGTTGGCATTGTGTTGCCAGAGTGCTGGGCTCAACAGAGGGTTGAACTGGGCAGTTTTCTAAAGCCTTTGGGTTTGGCTGGAGTGTGTGTATGTCGAGGGAGGGAGGGTTGTGTGGGGTTACCCTGACATTTAGATGCCCGACTTCCTCTGTGAAGCAGGATGAATTCAAGAGGAAAGACTTTTACAGTGATTTGAAACAGAAGGTGTTCATATGGCGATTAGTGAGAAGGCAAACAATGCAGGATTATCAGACGTCAGGCGGGTGGCTTTGAAGCGCTGAGGAAGGCATGTGTCTCCTCGTTCATGCTTGAGCTCCTCGGGTCACAGCGGAGGAGAAACAGATGTAGGCTTTCCGGCTGCCTCTGACGACCCCGCACACACGTCTGGCCCTCGTATACTGGAATACCCTGGGGCACGCCTAACTTTCGCCTGACCTCTGCCCTCTGACCTCTGCCCTCTTCCTTTCAGGGAGGCGAATGGGCAGCGTGGTAGCCGTGGCTCGTAAAGGAGGAGCACAGGAGGCGAATAGCGTGCTTCTTCCTGTGGGATTCCTATTGGCTGGCTCTCTGTGGCTTCCTGACCACTTGGGCAGAGATCAGAAAAACACAGAGTGAGGTTCCTGGGGTGAGAGTTTAGAGGGAGACAGAGTGAGATGATTGAAAACATCGCGTCAGCTTCCTTTAAGATCCTCCGATCCGGGATCTTCACGGCCCTCGGGCAGGTGGAGAAGACGGGTCAGACTCCAGCTCCAAACTCAAAGGTCATAGGGAGTGAGGAGGAGGACGGGTGAGGTGCAGGCTCACGGCCTCTGGGAGGCTTTACTGCCCGCTGACTCACCTCATCCTCACGTGCAGGCAGGGCCTATACCCAGCAGGACTGATACTGTGATCTCTCACCTCCCCTGTTTGGTTCAGTAGTTGCTGGAAGCACCAGAGGTCCGCGGAGAGGCCGACCGCCCCCAGACATGACCACGAGCCGGCACCTGGAGAAGCCGGAGCTGCTGAAGAGGCTCTCCCTGGACAGCTGCCTGGCGGTAGGAGAGTGGATGTGTACCCTGCCGGGCTTATCACTGCTGTTTGCCTACAAGGCTGGGTTTGCGTCCATAATTACCGTTCAGTGTTGATTCAGGGGGCAGTTTCCATCCTGCCGGTCGCTCATCTGATCCCTGCACGTGCACTCTGAGCTGTGTTCACTTCTGGAGGAGGTAAAAAAAAGGATTAAAATTAGGATTAAAAGATATTTAAACTAGATGTGCAACTGCGTCATTCACTATAAGCCATGTGGATGTTGGTTTTATTAGGATATTTGTATAAGGCATATAGGGCTTAAATATGCTGTTTCTTTTTTGATTTTTTCCCCCCCCCCATTACTGCTGATTATTGGTAAGGTGATGGTCAGATGTTAGCCTATTGGGTCAGAGTATAACCCGTCCATCCATCCATCTTCTGTAACGGTTCTCCGAAGGGTTGTGGGGGTTCTGTAGCCTCTGGGGAGTGTTTTAGCACTGCGGGGAGACACCGGACAGGGAAATGTGCAAACTCCACACACATGGAGCCCTGGAGGAGACTCGAACCCAGGTCCGAGAGGTGTGAGGCGACCATACTAACCGCTGCACCACCCCAGGGTATAATTCTAAACCCTATATTAATGCCTTCCTTGTATACTGAATCATGTTTACAAGTAGTTATTGTGTATATAGCATGTGTTATACACGTGCACGCATCTGACCCAAAAGCGAGGCGTGAATCACGACTGACCTGTCCGGCTTATCTAGTTTTCACAAGGTCTTTTTGATGTCTCATCCAGGTTACATTTATTTTTTAAACTTTGCCCTAACTAATCACTATTTAATAGCCCAGTACAACAACAAGTCTTTTGACCCTTGGTTAGTCACTGGCACTCGTGCGACGCTCTGAACTGAAAGGAATTAACCTCCGACTTCCAACATGGAAGAGATGAGAAACAAACCTGTGGTTTTGGCGCTCGCCCGCGCGGAATCGTGGTCGCCCACGGAGACGCAACTGGGGCTGTTGGGAGTGCGTGGCACCCTGACGTAACATCGCCGTCCTGTGCGCTTTCCACTGATTTCTAATATGATTTCCGTTCTGGGCAAAAATACAGCATTTCCCCCCAATAAACATCAGCAGAGAAGAGGAATCTTCATGTCTATCTTTAAACGCGGCTCTGATGTTTGTTTTCGGCCCAAGTTGCTCGTTCTTGGGGTGAAGTGTTCCCCACGTGGTGCACCCAGCTTATCCCATCCGTCTACAGCTTCAGCTGCTCTAATAAAGTAATGAAGACACCATGACATCGCTGTGAGATTTTCACCTAGAGGGGGCAGCACCGCGAAGCACACGGGTAATAAAGGCCCCGTGGGATGGAATCCGATCCCCCCCCCCCCCCCCAATCCACCGCCGCTCCTCCCTTCAGGGCCTGTGTCAGCCCCCTTCTGATCCCCCCCCCAGTCGGCGTGAAACACGCTCAGCCCCTAGGATAGGCTCCTTCTCTCTCATAGGCTCTGATTAGTCATGTGACCCCGGGAAGCTTGACTGGCATTTATCCCATTGTATTCATGGGTTCTCTGCTAAACCTCTTTACAGTATGAGGTGGGGGGGGGGGCTTACTTTGGATTCATAATGGGGAGATAAATCTGCAGAAGCCACCAGGACAGCAGAAAAAGGCTCTGCAAAGAAAAGGCCGTCCCACGTGCTGGACATTCACCGTCCAATGCATGTCTACATGGAGACACCTTCGTAAGAGCCAGTGAGGATCCAGTATGAACTGCCTGGTACCGGTTCGAGGTGGCGGCCCCCGTTTCCAGGACGCTCGGGCCCAGCAGCCATAGCCATGTCACACGGGGGCTCCCACTGCTAGCCGAAGGACAGAAACAGGCGGCATCCAGTCATTTCTCCATCTCGCTGGCTACGTCACATTATGCCGTATCGATCCGCTGCTTCAGGCTCCCTGTGCCTTTAATTTAGACGACAAATTGATCATCATCTTCATCAGAGCAGTGTTTATCATTTTCTTTTGTATGCAGAAAAATAATAACACGCACTGTGCCCTGACAAAAGCCCCTTATTATTCTGGCATAGATACTTGCTTATTTGTTTTTTAATTTTACGGAGCGTTAAGCTGTCACACTTTGGTTTGTTCATACCGGTTCCAGAACCCACTAGGCATTCTTATGACTTTCATTTGGGTTGAAACATAACCTGATCTCTCTCTCCCTCCTGATGCTTAGATTACATTCACACTGGGTGAACGTCGCACTGGGGTTGTAGGAGTATACCAGCCTCTAGTCCTGGCAAATTAAACGAGTCAGATTGAAAGCATCACATTTTTGTGGAGGGTCCATTTTAAATACGATGAGGGATATTTGTATGGTTAGAGCTCCCAGAGTATGTGGATGTGATTGGGTTTAATAATCACTTGCAGGGTATTTTGAGAGCCGTGTAACTTGAGTATCAGCGATGCTCCTTTATGTGACAGAGAATCGAATACTAGGTCCATTGATGCTGCGAAGGGGGAGGGTCTTTGACGTGATGATGTGAGCGGCCTGCCAGCCATGTGACATCAGGGCTCCCCCCTCCCCCCTCGCTTTGACCTCGCTCGCCGTGTACTCTGCGGTTAATTTTGGGGGTGGTGTGCATCCTTGTGGACTGGGCCTCCTTCAGCAGCCTGGCGCTCGCCGTTGCGGACGGCTCGGTGGGTAGTGCGTGACTGGGGCTTCGTGTCCGTTTGTGCGTTCTCCCCGTTCTCTGTACTGTGCTCTGATTTCTTCCCAGTTTGCTGAATTGGTGTTTTTGAGAAAGCTCATGATGTATGAACGCGCAGTGCAGTGCACTGACATCCCATCCTGGGTGAACTCCAACCTTGTGCCCTGTGCTTTCTGGGACAGATTCCAGGCTCCTGGCTCCGCATTACCCTGAAGTAATTAGAGGAGGAGTGGATATTCGGGATTTTATGACAAGATTAGAGTTGGTCAGGCACCTATAGGCTAATGTGCGTTACGGGCGTAAACACAGCTCTGCCCTGTGCCCGGCGCCCTGTGCCCGGCGCCCTGTGCCCGGCGCCCTGTGCCCGGCGCCCTGTGCCCGGCGCCCTGTGCCCGGCGCCCTGTGTCCTGCACATTGTTGTTCCCTCCCAGCTTTCAGCACACGTGTACCAGGTGTACGATGTGCTTGATTAGCTGTCTGGGGGTCCCCCAGGACTGGATTGAGAAACACTGCAGTTCTCCATTGCTTACTGTGTTGCCTGAGGTTTCGCACCTGATTCGTGTTGCAGTTAATCCACGATGATGTTTTTATGGTACGAGTGCCGTCGGCATGCCCCTCCCTGCGCCTCCTGTATCCGCAATCCGCCGGCCTGTATGTGTCCTTGGGTGCGCTGTGGGACGTCGTGCCTCTGCCAGGCGCCCTGGGAGGGTTTTAGGGCCAGCGCCTGTGCCCCGGGCCGGCCGTGGCGTGCAGGATGTGATCCGCCCGGGGAAGGACGCTGTTTTTCTCAGCTTTGCTCACACAGGGCTGGGGAGGCCCGGGGCCGCTGGCGTTTTCTGAAAAACATAAATCAGCATTTTTGGAATTGTTTGGCCTTGTTTTGGACTGGCTGGGTGTGCAGCGGCTGGGAATTCGTCAGAAGACATTTAGACTTGCACCGTCAGACAGGACACGGTTACAGGGACGCGGTCATGGAGACGCTGTGACAAGGACGTAGTCAAAGAAATGCGGTTACAGGGTCGTGGTTACAGGGACGCTATCACAGAGACACGGTTACAGGGACGTGATGACAGAAACGCGGTTACAGGGATTTGGTTACAGAGACGCTATCGCAGAGACGCGGATACAGGGATGTGGTTACAGGGACACTGTCACAGAGACACGGTTACAGGGACACGGTCGTGGAGAAGTTGTAACAAGGACTCGGTCACAGGGATGTGGTCTCAGATGCAGTGACCGAGACTGTTCCCATGGGAAGTGCCGCTGTGGAAGCCCCTGCCGCGTTGCGGCCGTTCCCTGTTCTGTGGTTCGGGTGACTCTCTCCAGAACAGGCAGATGCTTGTTCAGGGCGTGACGTCGGCGTGAGAATGAGAGCCGCTCTTCCCAGGCAGCCTCGCCGGAAGCGTGGTGGAGAGGCCTGTCAAATCCATCATCTCCCAACGGCGCATAGTCACTCCTGTGATTCTTTATCTGCATATGAGGAGTCTCACACCCCCAATCTGACACCCCCCCCCCCGGCGGCATTCCTGTTTGTTCAGATGCGCGCTCCCGCGGGGGGGGTGTGAGCGCTGAAAATCGGAGTGTGGAAAACCTTCTGCGGGGTGGTTCGGGTTCAAGTGCTCGAGAGCAGGGGTTCAGCGCCCCCATCCTGTTGTTGGCGGTGCTGAATAAACATGGTCTGGCACTGAGCTCCTGTCACACGGGCGTCTGTGCCCCGAGTTCGGGAAGCATTCAGCCGGTGTATTTTCTTTCCCCTCCCCTGTGCTGTTATTGGCCTCTATGCCCCCCTGTGTTTTTATTGGCTCCGCCGTACAATCTGTCTGTGCTGGAGGACCAATGAAACACGCTGTGGTATGACTCGCACCCCGAAAGCTCACCATGCTGAATTTGAGTGGTAATGAAGCGGAGATGTCTTGGCGTCAGGCGTGAGATGCCCAGCGCGGCTCCGGATGAGTTAGTGCTGCATCTGGACCCCCCCGTTGCTGGTGGGGTGGCCATACCTCAGTCTGACCAGACCGATGGCAGCACCGGCTCTCCCATGCCCGGCGGGGGTGGGGTGAGGTGGGTGGAGCCACAGTCTCCGGGGGGCCGTGCCACACCATCCTCACACCCCTCCTGTGACAGCTCAAGGTGTGTCAAAGTCCCAGTGCGGGGAGAGTCGCAGGCAGTGCATCATGGGATATGATGTCTTTTGCATGGTGGTGTTTTGAGACTACAATAACTTGTGCAAACTTCTGTCGGTTCACTTCTCTGCCTTGAAATCATTCATAACAGCAGTTTTGCTTCAGGGATATAAACTTGGAAAGTTCTAGCG